GTCCTGGACAGGCAGCAGGCTTTGGGGAGCAGGTCTGCAGACCTGGAGCCCCTCTCCACAGGGGTCTTAGTGCTGCCCTGTACTCCAGGACTGTCCGGAGGTCGGTGCCCTTCTTAGTCATCTGAGCAGGAAGGGGCCCTTCTTCAGACCACTTTCTCGGAGACCCCCCTTCTGCCTGTGGAAACCGTTCCCCTGGCAGAGACCCCTCGAGTCTAGAAATTTGTTCTTGTGGAGTTCGCAGGCATACGCCTTTACGTTCATATCACGGGACCGCCACGTGGTCTCGGTACCTTCCCCTCTAGGGATAAGGAAGCTGGGGCTCAGAAAGGTCAGACGGTTTGCCAACACTCGCACGTGGGCAAGTGACAGAGCCGGCCTGCAGCTCAGGGCTGGGGTCTCCATCCGCTGCTGCTTCCACTATGGGGCAGCAAAACAAAGTCTCAGAAGTTTGTCTTAATTACTGATTTATACAGATCTCCTGGGTGGAATACACATGATAACCGATTATGTCAAACTCTCTGTCCGTGGCAGGAATACCTGAATTTCTGCGTGGGAGACGGTTGAGAAGGAAAAAACCTGTGCTTGTCTGTGAAATAGTTTTGCTCGGGAGGCTGCCCTGTCTCGGAGTTCTTCCTGATTGACTTTCACTGTCTTAAAAACAACAAAAGTCTTGACTTCTTTCTTATGGGAAGGAAAGGTATGGTTCCTTAAAATGACTGCAGATCTGGCCAGGCTCTCCTCAGTTAACCAGAAATACTGGGGGTGCCCCTGTATTTCTCAGAAATACCCTGAGCTGACCCCTCGGGTAGACCGTCTCCATCTAGGCCGCGGATTCCTTTCTGCTGCAAACCCCAAGGTCCCGCCCCTGCTCCAGCGCAGGGGAATGTAAACTTCAGGAAGCCTGGGTTTCTCAGATTTTGTCCTGTAATCGGCATTTTATTCTAGGAAATCTCTTCATTATTGCGGTTTACGTTTTATGTTCTTAGCGTGCTTCCCCTGCCGCGTGGGTTTTACACGAAATGGCTTAGACTAAACCAGCTACCCACCGGAGAGACCCACCCTGTTGGCGGCCCCCTGAAGCCTCCCCTCGCGGGCACCTCTGGCCCCGCGGCCGCCCTTCCTTCCCCAGCCCAGCAGAACTCCGACGCAAAGCGTCCACCCTGTCCAGTCTGTGCTTTGGTACAAAGTTAACGTGTGTGTCGAGAGGCCTTTCCAGACAGCGGTGGGCACTGCATGCTGAGGCCTAGGGGGTGAGCCTGTGTGGGGAAGCGCCCCAGAGGCCAAGCTAGAGATGCTTATTTATAACAGAAAATGCGTCCGCGGCCGCGAGGCCAGGAGGAGGCGCCAGGGCGGGCTTGGAGAGGGCACCTGGGCCAGAGCGGTAACGGCGGGAATTTTACACCCTTGTGGACGTCTGCCTTCCTCGGTCCAGAGGCCCCAGACCTCCGGGTTTGAAAGCAGCCACCCAATTCCAAATGTTTATTTAGATAGATTCTTCCGCTCTCCAACGCCTGTGTTCCGGGCAGGGCTCTTTTTATAGCCACCTTCCTGAGAGATCCGCGGATGGGCCCCAGATCCCCTGCGCCTGGCGGTGGGCAGACTTGATCACCCTCTTGGCGGGATCGGCGGTGGAGAGGTGAAAAGTGGTCCAGCCTGCCAGAGCCCCTTCCCAGGAGGCTGCACCTCTTCCCACCTCTGCGCTGCCCGGGCTTCAAGGCCCAGCTTCCTACCGCGTTTTTGGGGGTGGTCCCGGGAGCCAGCCTGTCTGCCCGGTTCGGCTCTGCAGTGGACCGGCCTTGGGCCTCGCGGACAGCCTTCTGCGTTTATGTGGGGAAGGCCGGGGCTTGCGAGGAGGGTTTCCATGGCCGGGACGGCCACTCCTAACAGGCAGCTAACAGGGGCGAAGGAAAATTAGGGAAGCCTGTCCCACCCATTCCCAGTCTTGGGAGGAAAAAAAGCGGGACAAGTGTGGGAGGGGTGCCCCTCCGCAGGACCACCGTGAGGCGGCTTGGGTTGCTGGAACGGAACCCCCGCTGATGACACAGAACCCGTGGAGCCAGGCTGTGCCTTAGGAGTGAGCCGGAAGGCACCCTGAGCTCTAAGTCCCTTCCCCTGCGCCCACCCTGCCGGGCCCCTGCTCTGCAGCCCCCCCCCTTGGGAGGCCCCGTGCCCCGCTTCTGCTTCCCAAGCTCGGGAAGAAGGTGGGTGGCACGCTGGGCAGGCCCGGCTGGCGGGAGCAGAAGGAAGGAGGGTGCCCGCCCAGGGCTGCGGAGGCATCGACCAAACGCTCGCGCTCGGAGGTCGCAAGGCCGAGCCTCGGACGCTCCCCGCCACGACGGAGAGGCCAGACCGGCCGGCTGCGGGTCCGCGGGCCTGGAGGCGCCCTGGGGGTCCCAAACCAGACGAGTCGGGCTTTCTTCTCGCGTCTGGCTCGCCTCCTCCCCTCCTGCCCTACCCCCTCCAATAAATAAATATTCCCCGGGGCAGCGAGCCCCGCGGGGCCCGAGCCGCGGTGGATGAACTTCCTGGAGCATCAAAACTCCCCTCCTGTCTCCCCGCTGCGCTCAGGATATGGGGCGCGCTCGCTTCTCTTCAGAAAAGGAAACGTAGCTCTTCCAAAAATATAAATCAGCTCTGACGTCCAAATATTTCTTTTGTCCTCCAGCATCCTCTGCAGGGATAAATAAAACGTGCTCGGCGCCCAGAGCCCGACTCGGGACCTCGGGGCGCCCAGACGCCGCCTTGGAGGAGCTGCCTTTCGGGAGCCTTCCCTCCAACCCATCCCCCATTCCCCCCCGCCCCCCCCCCGCCCCCGTGCCTGGTGGTCGGTCCTTTGCGGAGGCGGCCTGACACTCTGTCGCCCGGGAAGCCCGCGGGAGGGGGAGGGAGTGCTCGCTGGGGCTGGGACTGAGGGGCCGGGAAAGCACCCGGGGCCGCGCCTAGACAGGCCCCAAGGCCGCCTCCCCAGGCCCACCTTGCTGTCGAGGTTCGCGTCTTCCCAAGGAGGGAGCGGCTGCAGGTTTCCCGTAGCAACCCCAGGGCAGTCTTCTCTTCCAGGCGGGCACAGAGGGCGCTGAGACGGACGTCTCTGAGGGCTGCAGCTCCACGGGAGGGAAGAGGCTGCGGCCTGGCTGAGGCTTGGTCCCAGGGGTTCCCAGCCCACCCAGCCTCCAATGGTCTGACCCGAGTCATCTTTACGCGTCCCCCCCATCTCCCTCCTCCAATTTGGGAAAGGTGGACGGACAGTTTTGGGTTGGGGTTCGAAAAGAAATCTCTACGGAGGGAAGGCACATGTAGCAGGGCACCTGAGGAGCTGGCGTAGGAGCCAGAGGAGTCAAAGCAGAGCATCCCAGGGGCCGCTTTTCACCCTGTGCCCTGACGTCCTGGTGTTGGGAACCAGCCTTTTTGCCGTCACACCCCCCCCCCCCCCGTCCCCAATCACCCTGCAGCGCCCCCGCCGTGCAACCTGAAGGGCTTCGGTGGCGGCCGGTCCAGGCGAGGCGTCTCCACCTGCCCGGGACCCCCTCCCCGCCTCCCCCTTGGCCAGGAGGTTCTGGTCCAGGCCTAGGGCTCCAGGCTGCGTGGTGGGGGGCTGTTCTCCAGCCCCCCTCTCTCCAGGGGGGTCTTTATTGATGAGCTGCCTTCAAACCCCCGCCCCAAACGCCCCAGAAGGGTTTAGACGATCCATCACCCGCCACTTCAAGAATGCTTCCTTCCTTTCAAACAATCCTCGAACACCAGACGGGCTGCGATGGGGAGGGGCGCGCACTTGAAAAGGGAACGCTGTATAATCAACGTCCCAGCCATCCCGCAACCTTTCGGAAACAGGGACTCAGGCCAAAAACCCCTCTAGATGATTTACGCGGCCTGATCGTCCCTCCCTCCACGTGGACTCTGCCCTGTGCCGGCGGCGCAAGGCCAGCGCACACCCGGCTCCAAGGCGCGTCCACCCGAGCGCATCTCTGTGGGTGGTTCGCATTTGAGGGGAAAGCGCTTTTCATCTCGGGGTTCAGGGCAAACGGAGTCTCGGCCTGGCGGGCCACGGTGTCCTTGCTGGTGAGAGGGCTGAGCCGGGAAGGCCAGGCATGGTTTTCTGGAGCCGTCAATGAGTGTCACCCTCCAGCCGTCCAAGAAAGTCCCTGGTGTCTCGGTCCCGGGCTGGCCTCCCCTCCTCCTGGGCGCCCGCGTGGAAAGAGCGGGAGTTCCTCTCGCTTCCGCTGGGTGGCGCCAGGCCCTCGGGAATCGCGGTCCCCGCGGGTCCCTAACCCGCCTCGCGCGCCCGTCCCCGCAGCCCGGCCCCAGGCGGACTGAGTCCTGCAGATACACTCGCTCACCTCGGACTCGGTTGGCCACCGTAGGACACACCCTGCTTTCCCGACCCCTCCAGCCCTCAAAATAGAAGGAGGCCAGTCGCATGCCTGGGACCCCTCCACGGAAATGCGCCCTCCTTTGCAAACATGGGTCTTGCTGAAGAAAGTCTGGCTTCGGTTTGGCCCTTCTGGTTTCCCACAGCCAGCAAGGGGCCGGGGCGGCGTCTTTGTCTGCAGCCTGCCTGGAGCTCTGGGAGCCGAAGTCTAGCAGAAAACAGACGACAGACAGACGGCCGGGCACCCGGACAAGCCAGCCTCTTGGTTCGGGGAAGTGTTTTCCACTCTGGACCGCTGCGAAGAGGCTGCAAGACCATCTCTTGTCTTCTGGGTCTACAGTGACAGAAAGACAACTTTTTGCCTTTATTATTTCTCATTCCTTTTAACTAAGGAAAGCACCCTACACTTGTCCTGGCGGAGGAAGTCTGCAACATAGAAGGGAACTTTGGGGGTCCTTAGGGGCAGGCTGCATACCCAGGTGGGGTAACAGGCAGGGTAGTGGTGGGCTTGGGAGTGGAAAGGCCAGGGCTGCTGGATTTGGAACCAGAGACCAAGATGTCCCCTACTGGCCTTTCCTCTGCGACACCGACTCAAGAGCTGCACTTTATCTTTATAGGAGATAAGAAGGCATTCTCCATGTAGTCTGACTTTTATTTTAAAACTCCTAAAAATTAACGGTATTCAGGTATACCTTACATACAATAAAATGAAGAGGCTGAGTTTTTATTGTTCTTTCTGTATTTTTTCTTTGTGCTAGAAGTTTCATAACGCACAGAAGTGGAGGGCTGTATACCCACCACCTGGATTTAACAGCTATCACGATTTTGCCACGCTTGCTTCATTTATCTCTTCTCTGTCTATTTTCATTTCTTGCTGAAATATTTCAGGGCAAATACAGATGTCGTGTTTTTAAAAGGCACCTTATTACTCCTCCCCACGCCCTCCGGCTCTGGCTCTCTCATACCTAAAATGATATTTTAGTGCCGACAAGCACAGTTCCTTAGGGAAGCTGGAACTAGGGCCGGGACATTGTTTCTGGATGTGTGTTTTATAAGCACAACTCTTTATCCTGCTGCCCACTCCCCCCAGGTGACTTCCAGCCCCAAGTTTCTTGGCTTTTCCCTGCCTGCTGGAGCTGCCAGGAGGTGACGGACGTTCCCTCCATCACTGGGGCTGGGTGTGTGCTTTGGAGCAAGCTGTGGCAGGGGCGCTCGTCTGTGCAGTCACCAGCGTCACTCCCACGCCGCATCCACACGTTCACCAGCTCCTACGTACAGAATTCATTTTATTGCAAGGTCACACGTGTCCTTGTGATGTATGTGTGTGTACGTTTATCCTTGTGGACCATACAGTACTTTCCAGTCATTTACCCAGACAGTGGCCAGCCTGCAAAGACTTTTTCATTTGGTTTGAAAGTGCCTGTGGAGGATTTTGAACTAGGCTGGGGTGTGAAGGGATCCGGGGGAGGGGGAGAGTGAACCAGGAAGCCCTGGTTGGCCCCTATCCCCAACGCCCAGTCGTTACCAGGACTCTGTACAAATATTTCATAAATATTTGTTAGTTGATTGGTCTGATTTTTCCTGCTCCCCCAAACCATACACGTTACCTTTGTTCTTAGCAACCCCCAATGTAGCCGGAGCAGCGATGTGATGTCATAGGTGGCCCTAGATTTTGTTTGACAATTGTACCTGCTCCAGGTGACCTTGGGTAAGTCTCTGAGTTTCAATTTCTTTCTTTCTTCCTTCCTTCCTTTCTTTCCTCCTTCCCTTTTCTTTCTTTCTTTCTTTCTTTCTTTCTTTCTTTCTTTCTTTCTTTCTTTCTTTCTCTTTCCTAAAATGGGAATAATAAAAATAATTTTAAAAGGGCCTCCTCCCACAGTGACTATAAAGATGAAATTTTGAAATATACACATTTCTACGGTTGTTTTTGGCCCCATCCGACAGAAGCGCTGTGCGAAGGTACTGTGTAAGCCTCGCGCGTCCTCGGGATCTTTCCTTCCCTGAGCGATCTCTTACATGCACGTTTGGTTGGGTCCTTAATAAGGAAAAGGTGGGTCTTTGTCTACCAGTTTAAGCCCGCTTCTGCGGGCTGGGGTCTCTGCTCTCCGGCGTGTTCCGGCTGTGGCTGGGGTTCTGTATCTTCACCGCCGAGGGCGAATTCTCCCCGAGTGGGGGGATGTTTCCCGGGCACCAGATCACACGGCTCCTGGAGGGATCCTACACTTTCGCAGCACCCGGGCCGGAGAGCGCCCTCGCAGCACGGTGGGTGGGTGCCTGGGGGCTGGCGCGGGGCACTGAGGAGACCAGGGCGCGGTTTGTGTGTGTGTGTGTGTGTGTGTGTGTCTGAGCTCCGGCAGAGGAGCTCACTCGATCGAGGAGGGTAGAGCGTCATTTGTCCCCAGGAAAGTGTGCCTCGCAGAAACGCAAAGCGCCCGAGTAATAACGCCAGGCGCGGCAGCCCGGGTGTGTGGGACCTGGACTCGCTCACCGGGGGTCGGCGGAACCTCAGACGGCTGATGTGCACTCCCTCGGGTTCGAGAGCCCACGGAGAAACGGAGAAGCGCGGAAAGAAAACTAACCAGCACGCTGCTGCACGGGCGGCAAGGGTTCCTCGCCGGCCAGGGTCTACGGCAAACCGCCGCCCACGTTTGCTGTTTTACACGGAAATTTTCTCCATTCCGCCCCATTTCCCGTTTGCAAGAGGCGCAGGCTCTGGCCAGTCCTGTGGGAGGCGGCGAGGCGGGCGAAGAACCCTCTCCGTCCAGCCTAACCAAGCGCCCCGGCAGCGGGTGTGAGGGGTCTCTCGCCCCGGTTACGCCGCGCTACCCCGTTAGGCTCTCGCAGCTCTGACTCGGAACATGTAACCTGCAGTTTGAAAAACTAATTTTAAATGTATACTAAGGTCGCAAATGCTATTTTGCCCATTTAATTTTACGTGAGTATCTCCCCCCTCCGCATACAGCTTGCACTTACTAGTTATGCGGCCTTGTGCACTTCAGTTTCGTCAGTTCTAGAACTGGGATGGAATAACAGCTGCCCCACAGGGCTTCGGGGAGGGTTAAACGAGTTCAGACAGTCGAGTGCCTAGAAGAACAGCGCGCCGCACGCAGAGGGCGCGCAGCCGACCTCGGGCCTGGGATGCACGGCGCAGACCCGCTGACCTTGGCCCCGCGTGGCCGCGGGCCCCGCTACTTTCCCAGCGACCTCCCGTCGCGACCCGCGGAGCCTAGGGAGGATTGGGCCCCTGCGCCTGTCCCAGCACCGCCCCAACTCCGGCGCTTCGTTTTAGCTTTCGAGGTACAGACAGAATGAAGAGTTGGAAACGGAGCCAGGAGAAGAGGGACGCAGAGGCCCCCGCGCGACCCGCGGGCGCGAGGCCGGAGCCCAGAGCCCGGCGCGCGGAGCAGGTGCGGCGCGCCCAGCCCCACAATCGATCCGGGGCCGCGGCCGCGTCGGGCTCGAGGGGCATCCCCTGTCCCCGCCTCGGCCGCTCAGGGCGGCCAGAGCTCTGGGCGGTGCGCCGCTGCGACCCCAGAGGGGAGGGAGCCTCCTCGGGTGGGAGCCGCACAGCATCGCGGGGCACGGAGGGCGACAAGTGTAGCAGCCCAGCCGGGGATGGTGAGCGGAGCCAGCGTTTTCGTTTTCGCGTCTTCCAAGTGTCCCCGTCGGATGCTCGGCCGCGCCTTCTCCGTGTCGGACCGTCTCCAGATACTGCCTGGAAAAGGCGGACAGGACAGGGCCGCTCTTTGGCTGTCGGCCTGTGCTCGGGACCAGCGTGGCCTCTCCGGGGGCGCAGCGGCCCGCAGGGCGGCCGGTCCGAGCGCAAAACCTCCGCCTGTCGGCGCTGAGGGTGGCCCGGACGTGGCTGCTCCACTGACCGAGCGGGAGAGGGGAGGGGAAGTGACCTCTTGAACCTCATCAAATGCAAATTCTGTAAGAATTTTTTTTAAGGGAAGAAAAGCGGAAGGACAGGGAAATGGAGAAACGCGGGGTCCACCTGTGGCTTGAATGGCCTTTTTAGAATCCCTGGCCCCTGGGGTGTGCAGGCTTCTCTGCGGTAGACCGACGGCTGGTAACGAACTTTGGGTTTTCCCTCTAGAGGGTGAAGCTCCCAGCTGACTTCTTCCAATATGCGTATTTTACATAGATAAACACCTTCGCAGCTTAATAGCCATTTAAATAAATCATGCAGGTAACTTACTCTTAAAACGATCTGACACAAAATAGCTTTTCTTTTCCCGGGGGTCGTTTTCTTCCTTCTTTTCATTACTGGCTTTCACAGCTAAAGTTTCGTCTCCAGGTTGGTGGCTTTGCGGTCTTTTCACACTTCACTCTGCTGTCTGTTCTATTGTAAGGCTCACATGGCTTGCCTCATCAACGCAGGCCCAGGATAGATTCAGAACTTTATTTTCCATTGGAGGGATGGTACATTTTTGGAAAAAGCAAATGCCCCTTTGGTTTTATCTAGTGAGTGAGAATGGGGTGGGGTGTCGGCAGCGCGGCAGAAAGAGACCCAGCTGCGCGCAGTTCTGGGCTTTGAAAGAGACGACCCACTGATGGGTCCCAGTCACTTATTCCATCCTCAAGTCTCTGGAGTTAAAATATGCTAAGAATCTGGAAAACAGTGAGTTGTTTCCATTTGTCAACTTTTCATTCAGCAAAAGAAGCTCTGAACGCCCACCGTCCCTCCACGGAAAGGAAACGCTGTCTGGGACGTGGAAATACAAACCAAACTCCAGAACCCAGGTCTTAGGACGAAATGGTTGTGGGCAGTTAAGCAGGCCCGCTGGGAAGACAGGATTTGGGGTGGAGGCTGGGCGTGACGGGGCCTCTGTGAGCCCATCTGAGTCGGAGGACAGAATGCACTGGGGGGTCTGGGCTAGTGTCGGGGAGGGATGTAGTGGAGGGGCAGGGCTGGCGGATCTCTGTGGAGAGCACTTTCCAGGGAGGCAGGGTCAAGCCTCACTGGTCCCGGTCAGCTGCTGGTCAGGTGGAGGGTGTGTGTTGGCATCCGGCAGAGGGAGTGGGCCCTGCTGAGCCCAGTGAGGACCGAATGTAGTCAACGTCTTTTCCTTTTGTGGTTTCTACCTGTGGAAAACGGCTGTGGCTGGACGGCTCTTAGAAAAGGGCTGAGCCTGAAGACATTTCCATTTGTAAGTCAGTTACCAAAAACAGCTTTGTTGTGCGTTTTATGGATGTAGGGATTTAATAGAAAGGAAAGGAAAGGATGTAGACGCATCTAGCAGGTAAGTATGACTGGGAAATAAGTGGTTTTTTTTTTTTTGGTGGGGGGCTTTTATTTTCCAACAGCAGCAAATATAAGTCTGTAGTAATGTGAAAATTATAGGTAATTTGGGGTATCTTGAATTCATTATAATATATTCCCGACCCCGTTCTAACTAGGAAATCGTTTTGAGGCCGCAATTTGATTGATGTCTGGAGTTTGGGTGTCACTACGGCGGAAAGATCAGAGCTGGGCAATGTAGGGAACACCCCTTAGAAATATTTTTCCTGGCCTATGTTATGTGCAGTTTTCTAGTTTTCGTTCACGTTTCTGATGAAAGGACATAGGGCACCTTACTTTCATATCTTGAGTTAAAAGTGGAATTTCAGTCGATATGTAATTTCTGTTACTTCTGATTATGAGAAGCTCATTTGCGTCATCTTCCTGTAAACTGCTTCCTAAAGCTTTAAATACTACTTAAAGGAAAGGTTTAAATTTTGAAAATTTACATGATTTTAAAAGATTCTAAATTTCCCTTTTGCATTGTATTTCCTTGCTATTCACTTTGTCTTTTCTAGAGAAGGTGAACAACTTAGGTTAATGTCTATTAACCTCCCATTAATCCTTTAGAGCGGGAGAGAGGTAAACACGTCTTCGCCCTTTGAAACTAGGAAAATGGAGTCATTGGAAGATGAAAAGTAAACCCTGAGGTCAAACAGGTTGACACTTTCATTAATAACTGGGAGTTTCAAAAGACAGCAGTACATCGGAGAATGGGAGAAAAATGTGCTTTAAAACCTTCGTGTTATCTAGAGAATTGTCTAGATTTGTTTCTCTGTGCGCCAGGCATCTTGTTCCCCCTTCTACCTACTAGTGACAGCATCTCCATATCCCGGAGGCATCCTGCTTCTTCCACTTGGTGCTGGCCCGGGGCAGCCACACAGCTGGGACCCCCAGGCCCAGGCCTGTCTGTATCACTTGGCCCCTGTGCTTGGCCCCATGCAGGCGTGGGGTCAGCCTCAGGCACCTGGAGCCCTTCCCTGGGATGCTCAGTAAAGATGATAAATAAGGGTGCCTGCTTGGAACCCCTGTGACCATCTCGTGACTTCCCTGGCTCCTTGTCAGAAGCGCACTCACGATAGAAGAGGATGACCCCAGAGGAGAGCAGAGGAGGGGGTGGGGCCGGCCAGGCCCTAGAGCTCTCATTTCATTCTTCAATTCCAAAATCATTTTTGAGTGATGCTCTGTGCAAGGCACTTTCGTAGGTGCTGGGGAAACATTCAGGGGAGGACAGTCAAGGTCTCTGCTTTCAAAGCTTAAGTTCGGGGAGACAGACAACCAACAAATGTACCAAACAACCTTTCAGATAGAGAAAAGTGTTTGAAGACAGACCGCAAGCAAATTAATATAAGGGAACATTTCTGGTGGTAATGAAGGAGAGGAGAAATGATTTTCCCTCTACCTTTCTAGGTTCTGTGGCTGAAACCCCCCTGCGATAAAAGACAACACGAGAAAAACAAGCACAAGTTTCACAAGCATCTACATCCTGTGCTGTGTCCATGGGAGAGACCCAGGAAAACGGAGTCGCTCCCTGAAACGGCCAAGCCTCCACTTCAACACCATCTTCAGCTAAAAACAGCAGAAAGATGTTGAGGTTTGGAGGAGTCAGTTACGGGGGGTCATCAGGAGAAGCGGGCGAACGCGGAGGAGCTTGTTTCGGAGGTTGAAGTCCCTGCTCTCTCAGGTGACTAGAGTCTCCCGTGATGCTGAGTCCTCGGCGGCTCTCTGGTACAGAGAGGGAGACACTGGCAAATGGAGATTCCCTCATAAATGCAAAGCCCTTCCTGAGGGCGACCTCTGCCAGGTTTTCAGAGCTCCTCCTGTGTCTGCCTTTCCTTAAAGATACTCAGATCAAAATAATCCTTTCGCCACAAGGGCCTTCCGCCCCCTGCGGTATCGGAGGTGATACTATAACAGGGTGATGCAGCTGAGACATGGACGTCGGGTAGGTGGTCGGCCACGGGGGACCTGGGGGTATCGTTGATCTGGGATCTGATGACCCAGAGGAGGCGGCTATGGGAAGGTCGGCAGGCGGAGCAGCAGAGACAAAGGCCGTAAGGAGTGATCTCGGGATGTCGAGAGTACCGAGGACCAGGTTGCTCCACTCCAGGGGAGCTGCTGGGGACGAGCGATGCAGCAGTAACAGACAGACGGTCATCAGGCCTGCCTCTGGGCTCCTCTCCTTTTAGGTGCCGTCCCCATGAAGAGCCACCGTCCTGTCGCGGTCACGTGACATCGCCGGGTTTTTACAATATAGCCCAGCAGGTTCCAAAGCTTTGGGCTGTCATCGTCCCCATTTTTCCACGAGGCGCTCACATCCTAGTGGTGTATGTTTGCAGATATGCTGATTTTTTCTCATTTTGGTCACAGAGGCACGTTATTCCTAAATGCTGTAGGCACTCAAGTCTGGCTGTGGGATTGGTGTGCGTAAGTGGCCGACTGGAGGAGATTCTTAGCAGGTTCAGCCCTCTTCCGACTGTGGTAGGCAACGCGTGCAGGTCTGGAGCTCAGGATGCTTGGGGAGGAGTGGGGGAGTGTCGCTCTGACTGAAAGGATGAAGGTGACAGTCATGACGCCGAGATAAGAGTCGAGTGCAGGGTTTCGAGAAAGCTGAAGGTGGAGTTTACTTGTGGTCGTTAAGTAGATGAAAGATTCATACTTTGAAAACCAAAAGTGGTTTGCCGAGTGTTTAACCTGTAGTGAATACAAACCACCCACAGGAACAGCACATCAGTCTGAATTCTTACTGAGAAGCAACAGCACCCACTCTGGCTGCTTTCAGCAGAAAATGCATTTATTAAAGGACACTTAAAGGCTCTCTGGCTTGGGAGGGCTGAAGAGTCCGTTTTGGAGGCTGCATCACCAGAATGACGTTGAACTCCACCCCAAAACAGGTGTGGAAGGACCGCCGTAGTTGCTGCCACTGCCGGCGCCGCTAACACTGACAGCTGGACATCAGGGTCTCCTTGACTAATTCACGCCCCTGAAGTCACCTGGCCAGGAGGGAGTTTCTCCACTCCAGGCCTGCTGCCTGTTTCCTTGCAGTGTGCTCTGTCTCAGAGAGGTCTCACGTGGGAGGGCCTGATTGGCAGAGTGTAAATCTCAGGTGTGAACCCAGTACAGGGAGGCTGGGAAGGCAAGTTTCTGGCTGCCACCTTGGGAGACAGAACTCATTATGGAGGAAATTCAAAAGACATGGGGTCGGCGGGTACATGGCAAATACCTTCTGCATTCAGGAAGGAAGGGAATCCTGAGAATCATGGCAGAAATCAATAAAATGGGCGACCTACCTCAGCAACATTGAGATAATTTACAGACCAAAGACGTTTCTTGGAAAAGAATAATAAGATAGACACACCTCTGATGAGACTTAGAAAAACATTGATGTTACACATGCACAGTCTTACACATGCACACAGTCACACACATGCACACACACGCACACATACGCACACGTCAGGAAATACGTAAGGTAGAGTATTTACAATTTGTAAACGAATAATTCTTCATCAGCTCCAGATTCAAAGTCCTGAGAGGTGATCATTGGACAAACCGGACTCAGATGCCTGCCCTGGGCATGTGGGGAGAAGAGAGGTTCAGGCCCCCGATTTCTGGGTTGGCAGGTACTTCCTCCCAACAGGATTATGCACAAGAGGAAACACCCCAGAGGGGCAGCCAGCAAATGACAAATGTGCAGCCCCTGTACTGTGAGTTATTTCATTAGTTCCCTATTGATGGACGTTGATATTCTTTACGAAATTTCATTACTATAAAGAAGCCTCAACAAACATCTTTGTCAAAATTTTTACCCTAGAAGTGAAACTACTAAATCAAAATATATGAATAATTTTATGGCTTTTGAGTAAACTGTCAAATTACTGTCTCTAAGAGTTGCAACACTTTACAGCCTCACCAGCTGTGATAAAAGAGGATGCACCTCACTTCATCTTTCCTAGTTTTGATTATTTCATAATGGAGGTGATATCTCATGGATGTTTTAATTGGAATTTTTAATTATACCTGAGGGTAGGCAACTTTACATGCATTACAGGTCTAATATGTACAATATTTTGTAAGAGAGATGTCATGATCTTTGTTTCACAGATGAGAAAACTGAAGGTCAAGGAAGATGAAGGAACATCCCCTCAGTCCCTCAGTCAGTCCAGGATGTGGGATTCAAACCTAAGGTATTTTACTCTAAAGCCCTTATTCTTAACTACTGTTTTATTTCAGAGAAATGGATGTATTTGACTAAATATGCAAATTAAAGTATATGAAGACTAGAAAGAAATGTAGTCAGAGTTTCCCAAAGGGTGTTCCAAGGAACACATGACTTCTCAAATTCTCAGAGGGAAAAAACAATTCGATATTTAAAACTTTGGGAAATGCTGGATAATGCGTCCCTTCTTGGAGACTCATAGCAAATGTCAGGATTTTTACGGCATCGAGAAGTCTTGCACCAAAGAAACTGTTTAACATTTCAGGGAAGTAGCGTTCCAAGGAACACGTTTGGGAGATGCTGCCAAACATGGTGCCTCGTATTTCTGTGTCATGTTTTATTGCGTTGGCTACAACATCTAGACAATGGTAAATGGTATTGGAGGGAGTGGCTATTTTATTCCCTATCCGCCCCCCACACACTGATTTAATGAGAATGTTTCTAGAATTTCATCACTAAGTATTGTGTTGGCCATGAGTTTAAGAGAGATATAGTCTTTATTACCTTCTCTTCCGGCGTATAGAACCAGAAATGGATGTTGAATATGAATGAATCAGCTTCTCACACAAAGGGGGGAAATTCAGTGTGTATTCATCAACTTGACAGTGTGTTCGATGGACAGGGCACCCTTCCCCGTGTTCCTGAGTGACGCAGCCCCTGCCCTGGGCTGGGGGAAGGCACATACATTTTCTCCCAGAGGCAGCACGTGGCTTTCTCACCTTTACCGTGGGCCGGAGAAGGGGGAGCACACCTAACTTGCTTAGTCAGCAGATGTTTTCTGAGTACCTCCTGTGGGTCAGGCTCGGTTGGCTCTGTGTCTCTAAGCACAGCATTTAGCCTGTGCGGGGAGGGGGCGCATAAATACAGTCCACGTCAGGTGAGGTGTGAAGAGTTGGCTTTGATGTTGGCTGTCTGCACCCCACGCCAACGGGACCTAAGATGTGGGGGGGTTTCTTCTCAGGCCCCCTCCCCCTCTTCCCCTCCTCGCCCCCCGCCTTCTCACCTTGGCTGCAGGCAGTGGGACACGACAAGCATGTTTTCCCCAGAGATACACAGGCTGACCCAGTCCTGGCTCAGATGTGGCATATATATTGAGAATGGAATCAGGGCAGGAAGCTTTCGACCGCTTAGGACACAGGACTTTGCTTTTGGCTGGAGAGGACTTGGAGACGGACTCGGAGTCCTTGGGGCACTGGCGAGTGAGTGATTGCATTTCGGTTTGGGAACCATTTTTTTCACCCATAATCTCCCCATCTTCCAGCTTATGGGGTAGTAAATAGCCCCTCTGTGCAAAAAGAACGCTGACATCATAGGTCTGGGCACTTAAAACAACATTTCACCAGCACTTTTATTAGCAACGTGCCCTGAGGCTGCACAGCCAGTCCTTCCCAGCCCCCTTATTCTGTTATGAACCGCACTGTCTCAATGAGGCCACTTTTTCAGGGTCCAAGTCATTTCCTGCATCCTCCCGCCGCCAGGACTGTTGGGATGAGATGCAGTCCGGTTACACAGTACCAGATGCAGACACACGTCTTCCATCTCGGCTGTGGGTACAAAGCGGTTGTCAAGAAATGCCGTGTAATCCTGACCTAAGAGGGTGACAGTTCATCAGGTCTGTGACAAAGCGAGGTGACTTCCACCTTCCCTTCTGCTATTTGTCCCCAACGTGGGACCTGTGAAATTCTGGAGATTCTGAGTGAGGGAAGAGAATGTAAGTTGAAAGCTAGGTGAAGGAGGAAGGGCTGGGAGTTAGGGAAGAAGTATTAATGCTCAGTCTTCATGGGTCTTTTTGGTTTTGGTGAGTTTTCGAAGAGACTAGGACTGAAAACTAAGAATTTTCCTGTGAGTGGAGGAACCCTCGTTTCAGAACTGACGGGAGTGAAAGCGCAGAGGGCGTTGAAGCGGTCAGGTTTTCTGCCATCAGCGTTGCTTTCCCGTCCCTGGTCGCTCGGTGCATGACGAAGAGTTGGAATGATGGGTTGGAGTTTGTTAACAGTGAGTCTTATTAGTATCTATGAAGAATTGATCACACAATGTCCAACGAGTGCATAGAAACCACTTAGGATATCAGTATAGTTGGTTTACTGCAGAGTCAGCATAAATTCTCCTTGCTTCTCCTTCCTGACGGGTAGCTCTTCTCATTTCAAATGTTACCTGTAAAGTCTCTGCTTTGCAATTCCTAGATTATAAAGTGGTCTGTTGTCTTTCAAGATAGAAAATGTATGCTCAAGGATCCATCCTTAAGGAGGCTGTCAGACAATGCCTTTGTGATGTGCGGATGCAGGGAGGCTGGTTCAAGACCCCTTCCCCAGAGTCTGGGGGGGGCAATGGCCCCTGAGACCCGGGTCCCCCCGCGCTGGGCTGCCGAGCGGGGTCGTGGCCGCCACGTCGTTCCTCCAGAGGCCGGGGCCTGGTGAGGGGTGGAGGGTCACACACAAGGGGCAGCGGGGCCGGAGCCCTCCAGCTCTGTCCTGCCTGGTTTGCCGGCTGAAGGCTCAGCCAGGGCTGGTTCGTGCAGCACCCGCTCTGTTCTCTCGACCTCATTTTTACTGCAAATTCTTCTTGTGCAGAAAACTTCCCTTCCACATTCTTGTGCTTTCCCGTTTAGATTTGGAGAGAACGCTGATTCTTCAAGGCTGTCATTCCAAGGCCCAGAGCGGCTCGCCTCACTTTGTTTGTAATACCCTGATGAAAGTTTGCTAAATTCCTTATTTTTAAAAGAATTTTCTTTGTCCTGGGGACAAAGAGGAAGAAAAATCCAAACAAACAAAAAAATCAAAGGTTTCCTGCTTTTCTAGGTTTATCACCATTTGAACGTGAAAATAAGATTTTCAAATCCTTTTTGCTTTGAATGAAATTCAGATGTAAGGTCCCCTGGCCGCTGGCCTGTCCCTGAAGCAGGGGGAGGGCTGGAGGAGAACTCCAGAGCCTGTGAATTGCCTTCCCCTCCTTTGCCTGCCTCTGAGTCTCCGGGTGGCTCGGTGGCTCCTATGAGGTTGCGCTGTCCTCTCTAAGAATGTGTCTCCCTGTGCCATGCGGCTGCTTCCCACTAGCTATCTATTTTACGTTTGGTAGCGTATATATGTCCATGCCTCTCTCCCGCTTTGTCCCAGCTTACCCTTCCCCCTCCCCATATCCTCAAGTCCATTCTCTAGTAGGTCTGTGTCTTTATTCCCATCTTACCCCTAGGTTCTTCATGACCGTTTTTTTTCCCTTAGATTCCATAAAAATGTGTTAGCATACGGTATTTGTTTTTCTCCTTCTGACTGACTTCACTCTGTATGACAGACTCTAGGTCCATCCACCTCACTACAAATAACTCAATTTTGTTTCTTTTTATGGCTGAGTAATATTCCACTGTATATATGTGCCACATCGTCTTTATCCATTCATCCGTTGATGGACACTTAGGCTGCTTCCATGTCCTGGCTATTGTAAATAGAGCTGTAATGCACAGGGAGATCAGCTCGGTGCTTTGTGGCCACCTAGAGGGCTGGGATACGGAGGGTGGGATAGGGAGGGTGGGAGGGAGGGAGACGCAAGAGGGAAGAGATATGGGAACATATGTATATGTATAACTGATTCACTTTGTTATAAAGCAGAAACTAGCACACCATTGTAAAGCAATTATACTCCAATAAAAATGTTAAAAAAAAAAAAAAGGAATGTGTCTCAGGTTTCCTGGTGTCATTTCTTACGAGGGCCACTTAGCAGACGATTACGATGGGGCCTCCGAGGTGAAATTTAACTCCTGCTGTCCGCGTGCTGGGGCCCGGGGGGCGCTCCCTGAGTCCTGGGAGAACTACCTCAACATGGCTCCGGACCCAGAGCAGACCTACGAAGGCAGGGACCCGAAATCTCCGAGAATTCATTGACTTGGTTCCTAAAATGGGGAAGTATTTTATTTTTACAAGTTTCTTTTCCCTTGTCCTTGTTTCAAGTGAAATCTTTTTTCAGGTTTCATTGTTGTGGACTAGGTTATCTGCAGGTCACTGGGACCCCAGGTTGATTGCATTTCCTAAAATTGTGCTTTTCGCTGAATGTGGCACAAGAGGTTGTTTGCGGCCGGCTCTGTGGAACAGGACGGCCCATGGAAGCAGTCACGAAGGTGTTCTTTCTGTTTCTGCTGCTCCCCGTGGGGGCATTTTAGGGATCTCCGGTGCTTGAGGGGCCTAAAGTCAGCAGAGAAAAATCCTGGACTTCTGAAGCATCCGGCCAATTTTGTGGAGTTCAGAACAACTTTGTTTTTCAAGACCTTTTTTCCATGACTTTCGAGAAGCTGGCTGCATCTTGCGGCACTTTTCCTTTGGATGAATCATTTTCCAGATCCAGTGTGCAATGACTTGCAGCCAGAGACGCAGCCTCCTAACTCCAGATGCAGGTCCAGATGTCTGCAAGTTCACGGAAGGGAAGATACAAATGTCCTGGCTTTGCCATGTGCCCTGGGAAGCATCCTTTTTTTTCTCTTTAGAGAGAGGGAGAGAGGGGAAAACCCACCAGATTTGCTTCACTTCCTGCTTTAAACACTATGCCTTAGAGTTCATTTACATATGAAATTGAATCATGTGATAGCACATGTGGGGAAATTTTGCCTGAAACCCATTTTCCTTTAATCCGCAGATGCTGTGGATCGTGAAATGCTGGCACTTGTCAGGGTGGCAGGCTTTCCCGGAAGGCACAGTGTAAACTACACGCTACTCAGTGAGCAGCTTTGTACACGGGTCCTAAACCGCTTTCTGAAGAGGATACCATGGAAGTTTATTTAGTTCCCTTATCTTTAAAATAGTGTAAAGACACTAAATAACTCCATAGAATTATTGTGGCATCACTGAGAATCCTTTGGGGTACTTTGCATGGGAATAAATGATCGTTCGTTAATATGAAATTATAGAATCGAGCCCCATCAAAATAGGATTTTTGTTTGTTTTATTACTTTTCGTCTTTGTGTTGCTGGTGTATCTACCTGTGGCTATTTGTAAAACTTTCCTATTTTCAACAAATACATATTTAACCCTTGTCGCAGGCCGGGAACCTTTCTACGCGCCGCGGAGTCAGAGGTGCACGAGGTGGACCTGGCTGTCTCTGGCACACGTGGAAATTAAGGGAGCGCAAGGGGGTAACAGGAGAAACAGTGTTCTGGCCTGAATCGTGTTTGGGCCCTAACCCCCAGGACTGGATGACTGTATTTGGAGGTGGGGACCTTTACCGTGGTGGTTAAGTTAAAATGAGGTCACTAGGATGGGCGCTGATCCCACAGGACCGAAGTCCTTATACGAAGAGGAGATGAGGACACAGACACACACAGAGGGACAACCACGTGAGGACACGGGGAGAAGGTGGCATCCCCAAGCCAAGTAGGGAGGCCTCGGGAGAAACCAGCCCTGCCCACACCTCGATCCTGGATGTCCAGCCTCCAAACCATGAGGGACTAAATGTCTGTGCTTTAAGCGCAGCCCGAGCAGACCAACATAGACAGAAAACGCGCTCGTGAAACAGAAAGGCAGATTGCGCGTCAGGACGGTGGGCCGCACGTCAGCTCATCTTGGGTGGGCTAACACAGTGCTGTGCCCCAGGCATGAGCGAAGAAGGCCTCATCCTGCCCGTGGGGCCGGCCTGCCGCGGGGACACATGGTGAGCGCGTGGCCTCACCAGCGCTCTCTCTGCAGAACGTCTGAGGCCCTGGAGCCCCGCCCGCGGGCAGGAGAGAGGGTGCTGCGTGGTGTCAGCTCTGAGGAAGATCACCCTCAACGCCGAGGGGTCTGTTCCGAGCGCGGGGAGGAGACGAGCCCCGTATGCTGGCCTCTGTTCGCACGGCCCCGTTATCGGGAAGAAGCCTGTTCTCTCAATCTCATTTTTGTCTCTGGTAAGTGGAGAAATGTGGTTTGCATCACTCAGAGCCTTGGGAATGTCTTACGGGATATTTCTGGAATGGGCAAAGTTCAGCACAGGCTGGAGCCAAAACGTCCCCATGACTGAGTCAGTCTAGTCCGAATGTTTACGACCGTCTCGAGAATGGTCTGCATATGTGCGAAGCTGGCGCTGCGGTTGATCACATCCCTGGGAACCGAGGAAACGCCGCAGGAAAGCAAGAATGGCGCGCGGGCTGCCCACGGGTGTCTTTTCTCTTTCGGAGCTTGCGGCTGCGGGAGAAGGCCAGCTGCACGTGAGTGTTTACCAGGCTCTTCCCCTCAAAGGACCAAGCCTCCTCAGCCTGGTTGGAAGCCCCAAAGGCCGCAGGGAAGCCCAGGTGACCTGCGTCATGATCTTCTTCCTTCTTTGCCCTGGACTCCACCTTCAGGACCGGTTCAGTCCAGCATCTCTGAAGTTTTTGACGGGAGTCACCTACAACAGGGTTCTCAAAACGTGGTCTGTGGGCCCCTGGGGTCTCTGGGACCCTTTCAGAGGTTTCGAGCTCAAAACCACTTTCCTAATAATACTAAATACTCTTCCCCCCTCCCTCTCCCACAAGTGTGCAGTAGGGTTTTCCAGAGGCTGTGGAATGTGAGCTCACTATTCTCGTGTTCTCTAGAATGTTCTAAATAAGTAGGGTTAAGTTGTACGTATGTGCATTTTCAGAGATTAACAGCTTTCAGTACTTCTCTGTTCTTACTAGTTATCTTCCGTTATACCTACTATAATTTCCATAAATTTATTTTGGAAAATCTCAAATTCCCTTAGCTATCATTAAAATTACTTATGTTGAGAAATACTAAGAACATCTCCCCTAGAAGCAGGAATTAGAGATATCTTTTGTAATTTCTAGTATTCAGCATTTTACAAGATATACCAATGAAAAAGAAAGTAGAATTATTTTTTTACAAATGAAATGCTTATGTACATAGAAAATCCAGAAGAATTTTTTTACAAATGAAATGCTTCCATACGTAGAAAATACAAGAGACTCAATACCAAGCCGGTTAACAGGACTTTTAGTATAAAAATAAGGTGAAAAAAAAAAAATAGGTGAAAATTTTATTCACAGCAACAAACATCATAATACACCAAAGGATAAGCAAAATCAAAATAACCTATATTTTTAAAATATCATAATATTTGATCAAAGAACAGAATGTAAAACCTGATTAATAAGGCAATAATAAATACATGAATAAAGAAAACAATAATTCTTCCCAAATTAATACATAAATTTAATGCAATTTTAAACAAAATCCCATTAGCTTTTTTTAGCTAGACAAAATGTGTCTAACATTTGTATGGAAAAGTAAAGGCATGAGGTCTGACAAGACATTTTTGATGACGAAGATTAGTGACCAAGGGTATATACTTATATATTATTAGAATTTACCCATGAAGCTACAGAGAGGTATGAGCACAGGATGGACAAATACATTAGTAGAACAAATGCAAACATTGAGAAACAATCCACGTGTATGAAAGAACTTCATCTATGATAAAGTTGGCATGTTATTTCATTGGTGGAGAAAGAATTATTCAATAAATAGTGCTGGAAAAATTGTCTATTCATGTGGAAGAAAAAAAATCATACATAAGACCATAAATAATCCTCCACTTCAGACAGTTTAAATATATAAATCTAAAAGTGAAATAAAATACTGGAAGAAATATGAGAGAAGAGTTTTGTAATATTGTGGTAAAGATGACCATCCAGACTGTGTAGGAAATGCATAGCTATAAAGGACAAAATGCACAGATTCGATTATATAAATATTAAAAAGCTTTATTTTTAAAGGGGAAAAACCCCAAAGCCAAAGATAATAATATTAATTATAATGGGGAAAATACTATGTTATTAAGAAAAAGGTAACCTAGTTTTTTAAATGAACAAACTATATAAATAAGGAGATCACTGAAGAGAAAATATGAAAAGCTATATATAAAAAAATGTTCAATGTCACTAATAGTCAGGGAACAATAACATAACATTTGGGAAAATAAGAAAGAAAAGTAATTTCAAGTTTCTTATGCAGAAATACAAAAAAGTAACTATACCTTTTCATCTTGTTTTTGTTAATATTTCAACTTATGGAAAAACATTTCTAAATTTTATAGTTGTGTCTGAAACTATTACTATTTTAGAATGTAATATCTTATTCTAAAATAAAATGAAATTTATTTATAATATATTTTGTTGTGGTGCAGTGGATAAGAATCCACCTGCCAATGCAGGGGACATGGGTTCCAGCCCTGGTCCGGGAAGATCCCACATGCCGTGGAGCAACTAAGTCCGTGCGCCGCAACTACTGAGCCTGCACTCTAGAGCCCACGTGCCACAACTACTGAAGCCTGTGCACCTACAGCCCGTGCTCTGCAGCAAGAGAAGCTACCTCAATGAGAAGCGCGCGCACCGCAATGAAGAGTAGCCCCCGCTCGCCGCAACTAGAGAAAGCCCGCGCTCAGCAAGAGAAGACCCAACGCGGCCAAAAATAAATAAAAAATAAATAAATTAAAAATATATGTGTATATTTTTGTTATATTTAAGGATGACTCAATGGCTTTAAAATGGGAGATTAGAAGGCTTGCTTTCTCAGTGCACAGCTGCACTGTCTGCGTAGAAAGATGCTGCAAAGGATAAATGCATGCATCAGGGCCTTCTCTTAAGAAAGAAGTCTAATTCAAAGAAACTGGTTGAAACTGCAAGTAAGAAATGGAAATATGACGAAAGCTATTTCCCCCTCAGCTCTATAGATTAAGAATGTACCTTGTGTTTAATGCAACAGAAAAAATTCAAATTATATTAAGGTGCCAGTTACACCGAGCCATCACTTTTGGGCCTGTCATTCAGAGTTTAAAGGAAAAGACATAGAACATTTTAAGCATAGACTTGATGAGTTCTTTTAAAAACCAAAAATTGCCTGATAAAGCTTGTCGAACGAGAAATGAAAAAGCCACAGAAACATCTTCCGGAGTAGGCGACGGTCTTGCTGGAGACTGGCTCACAACGGCACAGAGAAGAGGCAAGCCAGGCGCTGACATTGCTGGATGTCTGCTGGCTGACGAGTCAGGTCAGGAGTCGTGGCACGGCTGCTTTCTGACACCACTGTCACCTGTCGTGTTGAAGCTGTACCTGCAAACAGGAAGATCTTGTCTGCAAACGTGTACTTTCAGCTTAAAAAGGATGCCTGACTTACCGTTTTGCTTGTCTTCATCTGGGATTCTATCAATGATCATGGAAGGCGGCTTCCTTCAAGTGAGTGCTGGGTAACAGGCACACATGGGGTGAAATATTCCGAGGGATGAACACCTTTTCTGAACCTTGTGGTTTGCTCTGGAACAACTGTGCTGACGTTCGCACTGCTGGCGTCTCACCACAAATGAAGACACAGGGACGAGGAGCTGTCCCGCGCTAGAGTCACCAGGTCTCCACTGCCACACTCACGGGGGGAAACGCCACCTTTCCTTAAGAATGTCTAGAAGAAGTAAAATTGCTTGTTAAGATTCCGGGGGTCTCTGAGGCACTGTTCATCTTTCTCCATTACTTTTTCTTTCTGTCTCTCATACTGGATAACATCTATTCATCTGTCTTACCAAGTTCCGCTTTGTTTTCTTCTGCCTGCTCAGATCTTACGTTGAGCTCATCTAGTGAATTTTCACTTCAGTTTTTGTAATTTTTTTTCTAGATTTGCCATTTGGTCTTTAAGAAAACGATTTCTTTGTATTGCCGTTCTCTATTTGGTGAAACATCATCCTCATACTTTCCTTTAGCTGTTTAGATATGGTTTCCTTTAGTTCTTTGGACATATTTAAAATTACTGATGCAAAACCTTTGTCTAACCTGCGTGTGGGCCATGATTTCTTGTTTTTTGCATGTCTTGTAATTTATTTGGAAAACTGCCTGTTTTAAATAATATAATGTGGCAACTCTATAAATCAAATTCTCCCTCCCACCCAGGGTTTGTTGTTGTTACTGTTTGTTGTTGCTTTTGTTGTTGTTTGTTTGTTTAGTGGCTTTTTTTAAAAAACAGAACTAATTCTGTAAAGTCTGTATTCTTTGTCACGTGTGGTCACCAAAGTCTCTGCTCGGTTAGGTCAGTGGTCAGCTCATGACTAGACAATTTCCTCCAATGTCTGGAACCAGGAAATCTTCCAGTTTTTGCCAAGGTCTTTTTGTGTGTGTTGGGCCATGCCTCAGCACGCGGCAGGGCAGATGGCGTCTCTGCCTTAGCCATCGCTTGCTGTGCGCAGAGCCTCAAGGTCAGCCAGAGCTGAGAGCTTAGAACCCTCTCAGGTCTTTCCTGGGATGTGAGAGCCATGCACACGCCTGTGGCCTCGTAGAATCCCAGGAATATGTCAGGGCTTTTCAAGGCCCTCTCTGGACATCTCATGCCTCAGCTTTTCCTTTTAAGTTTTTCGGTTAGCCTAATTTTTGCCGCTGTTTCAGGCAGTCATGATGTTACACAACTGCTACTGATTTGTTTTTCACAAACACCCCTGGGGGAAACATTGTTTGCACTTTATTTGAGTCGGGTCATTTGATAAAGTGGGGTCTTTCATAGAACCACCTAGAAGCCATATAATGAGAATTCACTGGGGAAGGGGCCTTGAAGAAGTTCCAACTCGTCCTTCCCCTTTGGCGGCTGCCAGGCTCCTGGTTTTCAGTGGGATTTCAGGCTGTGGGTTTTCCAGGCTCCAAGGAGAGAGGGAGGAGGAGAGATGGCAATAGGGGAGTTAAAAGGCCACAAAGCCCTCTCTGTTCCGAGGTTCAGCTGTTTTACCTGAATAAAAGATCCTCGGGTTATTGCAAGCCTTGGTTAATTTCCAGAGGTCAGAGAAAGTTGATGATGACCGTTTTTCCCAGGGCTTTTGTTGCTTTTATGGAGAAGAGGATTTCTGGAGGTCATTCCTCTGCCATTCACAATGATGTCTACACTGTTTTAACAGCAAAAACCTGAAAACAGCCTGACGGTCCAACAGCAAGGGAGTTTACTATGCCCTGGGACGTCTGTATCATGGGATATTGTAAAAAGACTCAAAAGAATGAGTTATGTCTCTTGAGCTGGAGGGGTGTCATGATGTTTTAAATTAGAAAAGTTGGAGAGAGAGAGAATGAGTTCACGTGTGTGTGCACGTATGTAAGGATAATAGTGGGATGTCAAGACTGACTGCGGTGAGATTTGGAGAGTAAACGGAAGGGCGTGTGTGATAGCTTATCAGCTGTTTATTATCTTTGCATTCTTTCAGAGATTGTGAGAAGCATGTGCTACGTTTGTCATTTCTGGAGATAACGTTAGCTCAAGCAATATTTATGAGGACAAAGCTATAGTTATTGTAGGAGCCTGAAGGGTTTTACGTGTACCGTTTTCTCTTTTTTCTCCGCTTTCTATGTCCATGTCAATACATTTCCAGAGTCGTAGCACAGATAAGCTGTGTCATTCTTGTTCATGCACATCAGAAGACCGCACAGTTCAAAAAATTAAGTACTGCACTGACTCCCCACGTTCGGTTTCTAGCCTTGAGCGATGAGCAGTTCAGCTCGTGACAGAATTCCCAGCTGTGCCTCCGGTGAAGCAGTGACCCTCCGAAGACAGCTGGCAGGGCCCCCGCAGCCCCCTGCCGCCTGCCCCCCACTTAGCACGTTCAGGATGAAAGGAGGGAGCTGTGTGGGCAGGCCTGGCCCATCTTGCAGAGGAGGTCTCCTCGGAGTCTCACAGTACATCTTGTCGTCCTGTGTTCTCGGTCCTCAAGTGACCACTCCAGAATCTTTAGTCACCAAGACCTCTGAGAGCTGCTCTTGACGCTTGAGAGGAGGTCGCAGGGGATGCCCAACGTCCTCCACTGCCGCGCTCCCCCCCACGGGGCCCCTCCCACCGGCCGACACCAGGTTCAAGGAGCCCTGGGAGGGAGGGCGCTGGAGGCTGGGGACCCTCCACTCTCCCGACACCCGCGACGGTCAGCAGAGCAGGGCCTCCCCGGCTTGGCTGGGCTCCGCGGCATCCCCTCCACCCGCTTGTTACCCCGCAGGGGTCTGGGCACGAGCCCGCGCAGCGCTCGCCCTCCAGGCGCCACCGCAGCCTCCGTGGCCCCGTCCGCGCGTAGCTCTCTAACGCTGCTTCTCTTGCCACTTTCTCCTGTCTCTTTTCCTTCCACGTCACACATCTCCTCTCTTTTGGTCACAGCAGATTTACTGTGTGAACGGTGCTACATTTGGACCGTGACGCGGTCTCGTGTTGCCCAGAACTCGCACCTCGTCGCAACACCGCTGTGACCCTGTGGAGGTCAGGGGGAGCCGTGGGCTGGGGCTGGGCGGCTGCCACCCTGCTGAGCACAGGATGGAGCACAGACCCCACTCCCACCAGCGCTGCTCTGGAGAAGCTCAGGACGGCGTCGCAGACGTGGGGTCTGCAATGGAGATGCCGGTGGTCCAGGACGCCCACTCACCTGGAGGGCCCAGAGCACGACACACCTGCCCACTGGCCATCTCCAGATCTGGCAGGGTGCTGGCGTCTCGGCCAGACAGGGCAGCGTCTGAGCCCCAGCTGAGTGGGTTTTCCTTGTGAAGTGTGCCCCCCACGGCAGTGATCCCGTCCTGTAGAGTGTCGAGGGGCACCCAGGTACACACTCCTTCTGTGCACGGCTGCCCCTGGGCTTAATAACAATAGTGTAAAAATTGATTCTAAGCTTGGGGCTTTCACAAACGGGTGGTCCCCTCAGGTGCCCCTGATGCGTTTCTCACGTTTGATTTCCTGTTGGGGATTTTGTTCTAAAGGTGTTAAAGGGCCGTGTAGTGGGTGGGTGGGTGGAGGGTGGTCAGAGCGAGCTCAGGGCGGGGAGTCAGCTCCCCCGTCTCAGGACGCAGTGGATGGTCTAGGGTGTTGGTGCGACCTCCACGTTCCCTGAAGGTCCCACTTTGGAGCTCCCTGTGGGGCCAGGACGAGCCCTCGCAGACACTCGCGTTACTTCTGCAAACACGCTGAGCTCACAGCGTTTGCTGAAATCTCGTGCACCTCCTTTACGGAGCCTCTTGGCTTCACGTGAGGGCTGGT